AGAGAGAGAGAGAGAGAGAGAGAGGGAGAGGGAGAGTAAGAGAGAGAGAGAGAGAGAGAGCAAAATCAAATGAATCTACCGCTAGAACATGGAAATATACATTGCGCACATGCGCGCAGCACACCAGACGTGCGCAGCGCACCACGCACTGCGCACCCAGATGCGCGGCGCGCGCCGGTGCGCGTGCACCCTGGGTCAGCGCACAGCGCACTGCGCAGCGCACAGTGCCAGTACACCGCAAGTATGATTCACATTCTTCGTCTTTCTCCTTTGCACAGCGACAAACACTTACACTCAGCTGATGCCGTCATCGCCTCTGTCATAATCACTATAATGGCATGGTTTCTGCATCCGTGTGTGTAGAGGACTGTTCCTCCTTTCCTGACTTCAGGCACGCTCCACATCCGGCTATTATGTCCATGTTGTGGCCATGGGCGTTGTGCTTAATCCATGGTCTTTTGTGGGCGGTTCTTCCTTCATGTTGGCCTGCAATGGTCCAATGGACATGCAATTTGTCAGGAGTGTTTGTGGGCATGCTTAATGCCAGCATTGTGGCAGTTGCTGTACTGAGAATGCTCAGCTAGGTCTTCCATACCCTCGTTCGGCCCGTCCTTGCAGTGTACGTCCTCTCTGTCATAAAGGACAGACATTCTTGAGCCTCCTGCTATCCTTTCCCACGTTTTTACCTTCATTCCACACTCCTTACTTTCCCTTGATTTCTTTTATCTGCTCTTCCTTTACTCTGCCTCTTTTTAACAGTGTACAAGTGGTCCGTTACAGCACAGGGGGATGCCGGCAGCTCCTGCTCAACTTCATCAATGCGGTGTGCCTTGTACGTGAGAGGCACAGGAACGGGCGAGCCCAAACAAGAAATAATCAAAGAGGCAGCAATTAGGAAACGAAATGAAGAACTGCATAGGAAGAGGGAAAAGAATGGTTTCGGTGTGCACTACATCTCTGTCTTGTATTATTTTATCGCTTGTTTTCCAAAGTGCGCTCCTTTTTTTTTTATCGCTTGTTTTTGTTTTGGTTGAGGAATACGTGACAATATATACCAGATCAATGTATGTCCTCTCTGTCGTCAAGGACAGACTCATTGTTGAACCTTTTCTTATCCTCTCCTTTGCCTTCGTCTTCTTCATTCGCACTCTGTACTTTCCCTCACTTTCCTTTTGTTGTTCTTTGTTTCTCTCCATCTTGGCTTCCTGTGTTTAGCCCCTCCCCCTTTACTCTGCCTCTTCCTCACAGCATACAAGTGGGCTGTTATGGCAGATGGGGATGCGGGCAGCTCGCTCTCAACTTCATGAACGTGGCGTGCCTTGTACGTGAGAGACACGGTGAAGGTGGAGTTAAACAAAGAATGAGAAAAATGAACGGTTTGTGTGCCCCTCGTGCTCGTTTTGTTTTATTATTTTTACCGTTTGTTTCGTGAAGCGCGCTCTTTTAGTCCATAGATATGTGGCAATATATACCAGATGAGCAGGGATGGATCTGGAAAGCCGATGTGAGATGGCTTGATATGGGATTTAACAGAAAAGGATGCGTTGAATCTGATCCTGAGGTGTTTGCGAGGATGGGTGGGAGGGATTGAGAACGAATCCAGCACTAATTTCTAGCCGTCATATCTTAATGTCTGTCTTATGGGTCAGGAATGAGGGAACTCTTTGCAGAACAGTCAGAGGAGCAGGTTCGGAGATTAGGGATGGCAGGACGTTCTCAGTCAGCAGCCACAACGACAGGGATGTCGTGTCATTTTCCCACACGTGAACTGCCTCCACTGGCTGGAAGAATGCGAGATGACAGCAGTGATGACATGAGCCAACCTCAACACCCTGGCAGCGACAGCCACAGAGGAGATTGTTTGGACGATTCGGAATCTGAGGAGGAGGATGCGAATGGCGATTCAGGAAGATTTTATAATCCAGAGTGTCCATCAGAGATGGATGAGGTATGCGGTTTTATACTTTGTGGAAGGATTCAAGTGGCCAACAAGAACACATTTGGAGAGTCGGGGGAAAGAAAAGGTGGGGGGGGAGAGGGAGAGAGAGAGAGAGAGAGAGAGAGAGAGAGAGAGAGAGAGAGAGAGAGAGTATTAGGAGGAAATTATCGACTTGTTTGTATTGATTCTGACAGTGCGTATGGGGAGGAGCAGAGTAGCACAACCGATGGTCGACCCCGAACTGGTTAGCTCCCACCAGCCAACCGGTTTGGGCACACCTGTAGGGTGGGCATTGGGCGCCCGCACTGGCCAAGTTTTTTTTTTCCCCTCGTCCTTTTTGTTTTCTTCTTCTTCTTCTTCCCCTTTTCCTCCTCAACTGCAGTTTCCTCAAAGATACGTTTTTCATTGTAGAACTCTTTCAAATCTGTTTTGGTAGCCTTGTATGCCTTAAAATACGGCCTCTACAGAGCCTTCTCATGCCCTGTTCAGCTGTGCACTGCTCAAGATGTGAATAAAGGTTTTGCTCCACCATCCATACCATCCCACAGATTTTGACCTTTTACGTTTAACAGTCTAGTTTTCAGAGAGCCAAGATCTGGACAGTGAATAGAGTTGCCTTTGTATCCCCTACTACCTCATGCATCCCTATGGACAAGAGACATCTCCTGTCTGATGCTACTCTTGCGAGGATGTGGCTCCTTGGTAGGCCCGCCCCAAGTGAAGGCGGGCCTAACAAATCACGAGAGGCCGAATACTGTCAATTTCGTATTTGGGGCTCAGGCAGTTGTGTCGCGTCAGTTGGTTGAGGGAACCCAGGACTCGAGCAGCAAATACTTTCCACGGCCATCTAGGCCTTTTCTGAAATGCAGGCCCTGTGCCACATTCGCAGCAACGTACACAGACAGTTGGGAGGCGTAACTGAAAGAGGCCCAGCAGCAGCATCAGAGGCCCAGCTACCTGGGCCTACCGGAAGCTTCTGGGCACAGGCCCAGCCCAGCCAGGCCGCAGGCCAGGAAAGAGTTCGCTGCCTAGCAGCTCATTCGGGCACTTGCTAGTTCGCGGCAGCGCTGCTGGAGCGATTGATTGCGTGCTGCTGCTACCTTCTTAACCCGAAAAAAACGTACGTACCTTGTATACGAATACAACGTATGGGGTACGTTGTATTCGAATACAACATACGTACGTTATCGAACAAGTTTTAGGGTACAACTTTTCAGAAGCCTGTAGTACCGCCATTGTTTTTATTTTTATCTCAAATTTGGTTGGGAATTTCGCAAAGACCCTCAGGCAAAAGTTGTTTGCATTGCAATGTTGTACAAGATACTTTTTTTTTCGGATTTTTTACTGAAGTTTTTTTTTTTTAATCGAAATTCTGAAAAAATCAGTAGAAAACATTTTCATCCTCGTTTTTATTTTTTTATCGACCCTCAGGCAAATGTTGTTTGTAAACTTTGTATTGCATTGTTGTATAACATTTTATTTTATTTTTTGTTGAAAAATCAAAGTTCCAAATATTTGAATACAACATACGTACGTTTTATTCGAATACAACGTACGTACGTTATATTCGAACGTTCATTCTATTCGTGGAAAAACAAGCAATTTCTGAAAACCCGATTTGCAGAGGTAATTCGAATAGAACGTACGTACGTTTTTTTTGGGTTAAGAAGGTAGCGCTGGGGCAAGGTGCTGTGTACGTGCGGTCGTGTGTGAAGAAGGGCGCTGCTGAGGGCAGCGCCGTAGCCAAGTTGTGGTCTTCGGGTGTACAGAGGGAAGACAACTTAGACAAGGGAAAAGACGAGGGAGATGAGAGAGAGAGATGAGGATGATGATGTGAGGGCTCATACCTGGTATTGGCGATGGTCTGCATTGGGCGACATCTTCGTGTACTTCGGTGGCTGCTGACATCAACAGTTGCATTGTCAATTCTTAGGCAGATAGTAGCTGTGTGGGAGTAGTCTGGGAGCTGAGCGCCAAGTAGGGGGAAGGGCCTGGACTCTTATGTTGGTGTAAGACAAGAGTAAGCTCTGATTGACATTCGGTGTGAGTGTTACGATTCTCCATTGGTGTATTATTGGTGCAATGCTACTTCCTGGACGGTGTGGGACTTTCTGGCTTTCAATGTGATTGTGCAATCTGGATTCTGTCATCTCGCTATTGCTCATTTTCCTTGCACTCTCCTCGAGTCGTTTTAAATCAAGGATATGGCATATGCCCGTATTCTGCGGGATATTGTGCGGGATTACTTCGTGCGGGATATGGCCACTCCTGACTGGTCCCCTGTCTGAATCTAGTCTCCTTAATTAGTTTCCACCCCCCTCAAGCCCCCCAAATAATACACAAACAACTGGAAACATAGTTTTCGACTTTCCACAGATGTTTCCTATTGTTCTGGGCATGCAAGGGATAGGGTCGCCTTCCTTTTTTTTTTTGTAAACTCATCCAGCGGGCAGTGGTGACTTGTCGGCCGCAGATCAGTTGGCTGCAGATCTGTCGGTGGTTGGCGTCAGCCTTCGAGCGTCAGATAAAGTAAGAATGAAGAGTGAGATAGCAAAGAAGGAAAATGACTGAAAATTCTGCATAGAATAAGAGGAAGAGCAGAATGATGTTGACAATGATGACGAGCAGGACGAGGAGGTGGAAGCAGATGATGAATAAGATGCTGGCAATGATTGCTGAAGAACAAGAGGAGGAGAAGGGGAGGACAACGGAGATATGTTTGGCACATGGATAAACATTTGGAGAAAGAGGAATACAGCATCACATTCAACGAAAGGTTGACAAGGGAAGAAGTGAAGAAGAGACGAATAACAACGAGGAAGATGAGAACAAGGAGGAGAGGGACGGGGGAAGACGACAAATGCAGGGAGAAACAGGAGATTCAGATGAGAGGCATGACTGTGGGCAAAGGAACTGGAGGAATATAAACACGACAAAAGACGAGCATTGAACAGGAGCAAAACAAAAAAAGGTATAGTCAAGCCCCAGTAATGAAGGTGAATACCGCTCCAAGCTACCCCCCAAAGAAAGACCATCGAGTCCATCGTCAGTTCCCACTTATTACATCCCTGCCCTTTGTACACACCACCTGTCACTCCTACCGATTGAATAGTCCAGTGAAGTGTCTGGATCGTGGCGATCTCCGCGGTTTGCCTCTGGGAGTGCTGTGAGAAGTTCATTGAACCCGCGACCCTTATCATTTAGAGGAATGAGAAGTCGTAATGAGGTTTCCGTAGGTGAAGCTGCGGGAGGATCGTTGAAAAATAGAACAACAAGTGAAGCGCTTTACAGGAGTAAGAATGAAGAGTTGGATGGATTAGTAACCCTTGCAATGTTTGAAATGGGTGTCACGAAAGGGGTCCTTGCTTGATTTAGATCAAAGTACGCTAGGTTGATTCGGGACTCGGGAATCCTTGTTGGGGGAAGTGCCTGCATTACACACCGTATCATGACTCTTATTCTATGCAGAATTTTCAGTCATTTTCCTTCATTGCTATCTCACTCTTCATTCTTACTTTATCTGACGCTCGAAGGCTGACGCCAACCACCGACAGATCTGCAGCCAACTGATCTGCGGCCGACCAGTCACCACTGGCCCGCTGGATGAGTTTACAAAAAAAAAAAGGAAGGCGACCCTAGTCAGGAGAGGGCATTCTTGCCGAAGGCACGGATGTGCTGCATGTTGTGTGGTGCTACTGTAGCTGGAGTGTTCCGATGAGACAAAGCTTTTTGTTATCAGATGTGCTTCTTTCGTGGATTTGCATATGCTGCCAGGGCGAAAGAATTGAGACCTAGATGTGATCACCAAACTAGCCAGCCCCAGGTAACCCAGAGTTGTTATTTGATATTTCATTGTTATTGTACTCACTCGATGAATCCGAGCAATGGAAAGTCTTGAACCCCTAACCTCCAGGTCGTAGACTCACTGATCTACCAAGACAGGATGGGACACCAATCTTGTGGTTGTAAGTTCTCATTAATTTTGCTTCAGAAGAGGAAAGTTGACAATCTCGCTTGGGATTGCTGTCATACATGCAGATGCCAGAGCCACTTGAAGACATATCGATGCCCATGCCGCCCCTTGACAGTGGAGGTGAGAACTCATCCTCGGTGATGGAACAACAGCTTCCCGTCCACCAACTTTCATGATTGCAATGTTTTGCGTGCTATATCTCCTTTTTTTTTTTTTTTTTTTTGGAGGGGGGTACTTGCAAAAATAACGCGTTTTGGAAGTTTCCCAGCGGAAATGGTGTCTGGGTCCAAAAGATGTAATTTTGCAATGTAAGTGGGTCCGAAAGATGTAATTTTGCAATGTAAGTGGGACCCCGCCCACAAATGTTGTTGCTGTGAAACTACTGGCACCTGTAAAGCTGGAACGAAAGATGTAGTTTTGCAACGAAACTTGGACCCCGCCAATATTTTTGCTCTGAAACTACCAGGAACGTGCTTTTTTTGAAACTTGCCTTTTTTTTTTGTCCATATATCCTTCTCAACCCTCCGTCTCCGGCATCGAATCTATCGTGCGAGTGCCCTTCTTTCTGTTTCTTGGTTCCATCTCTCTCTTTTTTATTTTGCTCGTTTGAATCTCTCTTCTCCTGCGCCATACCTCTGTGCCCTTGCCCTTCGATAGTAATGTGTATGGCGCAACCTAAAGTGCGTAAAGAGCGGTTGTGTCTATCAAGGATCCTGTGCACTCATTCTGTCAAACCTTCCACTGCTTTGGGTGACAAAGGGCACTTTCTCTCTCCCTGTTTCCTTTTTTCCTCTGGAAAAAAGGTAGATGTTGACACAGAGCAGTCGTGCCATGGACGGAAGGAAGCACAGTGGAGGAGTTAGAGGAGCACCAATGTGAGCAGGAACTGCTTTTCTTTTTTCCTTTTTTTTTAATGTGAGTGAGAACTGCAGTTAAATCTACATGGTGGATGTGAAATTTTCCTTTGTGCTGAAGTTTTGTCGACTGTGTTCTTGCATTTCAGACACTGGCTCTGGTCCATATGATGAAGACGAAGATGAATACGGGCCTCCCGTGGGACCATCGAGTGAATTCAGGGGCTCTCTGCCACATGGAGATCTGGAGAATGGGAAGAGCTGCTGGAGTGAGCCACACGGAAAGCAGTTTCGAGTGCGGAGTAAGAACTACTTGGTGGACAACTCAAAGGTGCGTTCCAAGTCCCAGCTAGGTTCCACTTTTAAACACCGTGTCCTGGCTGTAGCGGTTAAGAGACTTGGCTCTTGTGGAAGTTGTGGCCAAGGGCGTCGGCTAGAATGTGTGTCCACAGAGGAGGCCTGAGGCCGGGTGTTCGGATCCATTCCTTCTACTACTGTGAGTGAAAGCTTCTAGGTCAGGGTACTCTGTAGGCTTGCCGCACAAGTTGAACGTTGTTTTCTCAGTTGAAAACAAGGTGGCAGACGGGTGCGTAACGCGTGCGAATCTACCAAACAGTTTGAAAGTGATGAAATTTGAATTAAGCTAGCGCTAACAAAACGAAATTGGATGACAGGACACGGTCTCAATTTCCTGGGAATTGATCAATTGATCAATTAATTAATCAATTAATCAATCAATCCAGAAAGACAACAGTAGAAAAAAAGGCGCGAACTAGCGTGCGCGTGTGTGTGTGCGCGGGGGGCGGGCGACGCCCCTGCTACCAGCAATCAATCAGTCAGTCAAAAAAAAAAAAAAAAGTTGAAAAAAAAAGACTGCACAGGGGTGTGTGTGTGTGTGCGGGGGGCGGGCGACCACCCCGCTACCAGCTAGCCGATAAATCAATCAATCAATCAATCAAAACCAAAAAAATGTTGAAGAAAAAAAGGCGCGAAAGACTGTCGTGTGTGTGTGTGTGTGTGTGTGTGAGGGCTGGGTGACCCCCCTGGAACCAGCTAGCCAATCAATCAATCAATCGATCAATCAATCAAAAACCAATCAAAAGTTGGGAAAAAAAAAAGGCACGGACTTCTAGGAATTGTGTTCTTTTTTTACTCAATTGATCGTAGCGAAACTTTGGGGGTAGGTGCGGTAGGAGGTCAGCTGTCTACAGAAAGAAATGCAAAAAAAAAAAAAAAAAAAAGCCCGGACCTCGAACCCCTCCCCGAATGGCCGAATGTTCGGGGGTAGGCTGGGGTGCCCTGAACGTTCGGCATGGTAACCCTGGATAGAAAGTAATTAAGTGAGCACGCTGGACTTCAGAATAAGTCTTTACCACGGCGTCTTAACCTGACCTTGTAATTTATGCCCTCACCATTTTGAGCTCGTTTATTACCTCTACAGTTTCTATAAAGGATATGAAGTTTATGAACAGAGTTGTTGAAATCAATTGATCCAACTTTGCTTTCTGCTATTGTACAAAAAAAAAACAATCACTGAGCAAATCGATAGCAAGGTTGTTAACCGGACGTCCGGATCGAGATCCAGACGGTCCGGTCTGAATGTCTGGATCTGGTGTCCGGTTCAGCCCCATTTCTAGAAAATTTGAAAGAAAAAATTGGGGTCCTCACTGACGCCCAGGCGATTTTCCAGTGCTTGGTGGACCCCTGAATATTGTTGGCGCAGTTTTTGGTGGACCGTTGGGCCAACCGGACCGGCCCTGAAGGGCCTGTACTTGCAATCTTATGTGGGCTTCAGCAGGCCAAGGAGAACTGGTTGTGTGTGTGTGTGTGTGTGTGTGTGTGTGTGTGTGTGTGTGTGTGAGACACAGTGTGTGTATGTGAGTGTGTTCAAGATAAGTCGGATAATACAACCACAGCAGCGTCTGTTTTCTTTTTTTTCTTTTCGATAGCGTACAGGTTATTCTTGTCAAAAAAATGTCAAAAATTTAGTCAGAGTTTCTTCACAACTCGCTCGGGTTAATTCCTAGGATACCAGCCGGGATGCCCAGGTCACCTATTTTCCCGGATGGCCCTGCCGTGCAAGGACCAGGGAAGGTCCTAGCAAAAAATAATAATAATAATAATAATAATAATAATAATAATAATCCAAAAAAATACTATGTTATGACAGTTATGCGGAGTAATAAACTGAACTACTTTTGCCTCAGGGTCACATCGAAATTCTTTACCAAATTTAAAATAAAATAGAGCAGGGTTGCCGGTGTTCGGGACGGGCCAAACGCCCGAACCCGAGAATTAAATTATTGAGTGGGCGAGCACGTTTTTGACACCGCCGTCTTTGGCGATTTTTCTTTTTTTTTTGGTTGTGACAAATGCCATGAAAATTTATATATGTGTATTTTACATAATGCTATGATAATAGAGAATCTACGAATAAAGTTTGAAAAAATAATAAATTGTTTTATTCCCCAAAATAAAGGAAAAACAAAAAGTGAAAAGAGAGAAAGAACAAATTTGTGAGTGGGCAAGCAAGTTTTGACACCACCACCTTTGAGGATTTATCATTTTCTTTTGGCTGCTCAGAATGACTTCAAAATTAAGCGGGAATTACCTTACATCACAAAGAACTAACAAAAAAAAATTCAGAAAAAAATAATAGTATTTGGGTGCCAAAATATTTTTTTGCGGGGTCCGAACCCCTTCAAGTTTGGGGATCCGAACGCCCGACCGTTCGAGGGTCAGCTTAGGGGCCTCCGTACGTTCGGCCTGGCAACCCTGAAATAGAGTAAAATTATTTTTCTATTTTTTTATGTTCTTTTGGCCCGGGAGGGCGAGTGTTCCCGGGCCACTCTGGTAGCCTAGGTTAATTAACCAATTTTCCTATATCTTTGTGACTTTTTAATTTTATTTTTAATACCATTTCTCGATTTATGTGTGTCATCCTTGCCCAGGGGCCATGCTCATCTTCTCTGTATCGTTCCAATTTTTTTTAACAGATGTCCTGAAGGACCTTTGGGACTGTTTTGGGTTGGGTAGCATTGAAAAACAAACCCCACCATGGGTAATGTTGCATACCGTATAGGTGCAGACCAGAACAAGAACCGACCTTTCAATACAAGGTATAAGATAGCACAGCGGAAGACTTAGATACCAATCATCCGAACAATCAATATTGTAATGCAGCCCCGAACATACATCATCATCATCATGGTGCGAAGGGGTCTGGCGCTTCACACAAGAAGACTGCGCCAGCCCCAACCATACACAGACGAAGGAGGTGGGGTTAGACGAAGAAGAAGGGAAGATGGGAATGTCAGCACACCAAGTGTTCAGCACAGGCCCAAATAGTCCCTCGTCAAAATGTCTGAATCCCAATGTCGAGTCTGGATCCAATGTCGTCAAGTCTCATGTCA